TCTTGACATCTTTGTCTTCAGCCTTAACACTTCTTCAGTGGCACTTATTTCATACAATATTCCCATGTGCATATGTTCCAAAGAAGTAAGTTAATATAAGCTCAAGTATTTATAAATGAGTCATGGTAACTGCTGTCTGAGATACACATCAGCAGGGTCCCTATCCTCTAGGAATTTCCATCTCGCTGGGAAGTCTCAAAGAGAATGTCCTATCCAGCAACAAGGGGTTTATATGGCCATATGACTTTTCAACTTCTGCAAATAGCAGTAAACAAACCAGAGCAAAGCTTTTGACTTGTGCCCTATAATCTCATAGATTTTCTATCTGGTATTTTTGTTCCTTTCAAACCATATATTAACGATGCTGACCTTTTTAGTAATTTGATTCTGACAAGGGCACAGCAACAGCAGTGCTCAAAGGATGACAGCCTGATGTGGGCAAGCCAGGAAAGTAATCACTGCTTTAAATCAGAGAAAAAACCATTTGTGCTTCAACAGCAGGAGATTCCATCGCAAGCAGGAATACCTGCATCCTGAAGACCATGTCACATTGATCATCATCTGTGGATTTGCTTCCCAGAGCTCAGAAAGTTTAGCTGCCTGTTTGTGCCTCCAGAGGTAGTAAGGCTGTTGGAGGCCATTGAACTTCTTCATTCAGTCTTAGACTTGGAAGAGTCTTTACCAATCACCCCTTCTAACTTTCTACTATAAATGATATAAACGCCAAAAAGGAGATCCATGGAGGGCATGGATGCCCTGGTGATGGAGAACACAGCCCCTGGATCAGTCAAGCAAGGATCGCTTGCTTGACATCTACTCTCTTGAGTAAGGTATTCAGTGTAACTTGAGTACACAGCTTTACAGTCTCAGCCTGCTTGTCATCAGTTCTTCCTTCTTTCTTCATGTTCTCTTTGTATCTTCCTCTAAATCGAATTTTATAAGGATCCATTGAGCATACAACAGGTGGATTCACAATTAAATGAATGACCTTATTAAAGTGTGTTTCAGTCACATCACCAGAAGGCCGTACTTATGGACAAGAAAGGAAAATTAAAGAATATTTTTAATGTTTAAAGTATAGGCAAACTTAGCTTGCAAAAGGCTAATTGGATTCTCTGCTAAACCATTCCTTATTTCCCCATGGCACTGTACTTTTTCTGGAAGAATTAGATCAGACCTAACAATTTAGCTTTTGGTTTGTAACCAGACTCTTTTCCTGTCCCTTGTGTGTTTTATTATAGAGTTAGCTTTTCAACTGGAGAAACAAAGGGGTGGGAGCATGCTCATTTTCTCACACTGAAAGCCAAGATTTCAAACACCATCGATTTGTCTACTGGTCAAGTCCACTTCTTGACCACTGTACTGGAGCATTCTAAACTCTAAACTCTAATTTCTTGGGGCAGGTGCTGTGGTGCAGAGGCCTAAGCCGCCACCTGAGTCACCTGTGTACCTTGTTGATTGCCTGAGACAGAGTTCTATCTATCTCCACCTTCCATTATAGCTTCTTGCTGATGTACCTGTAAGGCAGCAGATGATAGCTCAAGTACTTGAGTCCCTGCCAATCACATGGGAGACTCAGATGGAGTTCATGGTTACTGGTTTCAGTCTGGCCCAACCCTGGCTAGAGTAGGCAGTTGACATCTGTGTGTGTGTGTGTATGTGTGTGTGTGTGTGTGTCTTTCTGTCACTTTGCCTTTCAAAAAAATTAATCTTTACACTTAAATTTCCTTATGTCTATGGACTGTATGCCCAAAGGTGAGAGACTTATTGACCAAACTTACTGAATTTCTTTATTCATGGAGAATAAATGATGCTCAATTACCAACAGTCCTGGGACACCATTATCTTATATGGCACCTTTGTGTAACTTGGCAAAACATGCCATCTTTGGGTGATGTAGTCCATGGTTGTACAGCTTGGCTGAAAGAAGGTGATGCTGTGAGATACAGAAAGGAACTCCTGGGGAAAGTGTTAGGGGCACTTGAGTATCTGATTAGAGTCTTGACTGTAGCTTGGCAGTTTAAAACAACAAAGACTATCTCACAATTTGAATATCATACTCCAAAATGCATCTCACTGAGCTACACTCAAGGTAGAAGTTCGGACATTCATTGGTTTGCAGTCCTCTTCTTCCATCCTGAAATCCAGTAACATCTTTTTCAACTACCATGTATCCGATTATTTCTTCCAATTCTTTTTTCATTTTTTAGTAACCTTGGTTTATACTTGGGCCCACCCTGATAATTCAGGATAGTCTCTCTATCTTACAGTCATTTGATTAGCAGCCTTATTTCCATTTACAACCTAATTCCTCACTGCCATGTAACCTAATATAGTCACAGGTTCTGAGGATTGCAACATAGTTGGCTTTGGAAGACAATGGATCTCACAAAGACATTTGTATCAGAGTCTCTCTCTCTCTCTCTCTCTCTCTCTCTCTCTCCCTCCCTCCCTCTCTCTCTCTTTCTCCCAGCGGACAAGATCTGCCCTTGCAGAGAGAGCTCCCCATTGGATCTTTGAGTCTTGATCTTATGTATGAACTTATAACCAAAGAGTGCTCTACGGCCGGCTCCAAGGCTTAATAGGCTAATCCTCTACCTGCGGCACTAGCACACTGGATTCTAGTCCCGGTCGGGGTACCGGATTCTGTCCCGGTTGCTCCTTTTCCAATCCAACTCTCTTCTGTGGCCCGGGAGTGCAGTGGAGGATGGCCCAAGTTCTTGGGCCCTGAACTCGAATGGGAGACCAGGAGAAGCACCTGGCTCCTGGCTTCGGATCAGCGTGGTGCACCAGCCGCAGCACACAGCCGCAGCAGCCATTGGGGGGTGAACCAATGGCAAAGGAAGACCTTTCTCTCTGTCTCTCTTTCTCTCACTGTCCACTCTGCCTGTCCAAAAAAAAAAAAAAAAAAAAAAAAAAATCAAAGACTGCTCTACAGTAGACCTCTCAGAAGTTAGAGAAATATACACAAGCACATGCAAACACACACATCCTCACACTGTGCCACACCCACACTCACATCCCTCTCACCCCATACACAGCCCAACCTCAGGTAAAGCAGAGGTGTCTGTTAGGCATATTAGGTCAGTCTAGAAGGAAGAGAGCTTCTGTATCCTTCCTCTTCCCTCCTAGAGTGAGACCAGAAGGAAGGTCAGACCACTTATTTATCAAAGAACAAATGAAGTTGGAGGCCACTGGCCTGGACATATGAGTCCTGTGGTCCCAAGCCAAGTAGAAGAAAGGTCTTTGGAAGACTATGTAAGGAATTTTTTGGCCATGAGTGAAGAGACTGTGATATGAGGTCAAGTTGGTGTAACTTGGTCTAGTTGCCTGCAGCCAGGAAAACTTGGTGGGTTGAAAATTTAACACAGGAGAGACCGGCGCCTTGGCTCAGTTGGTTAATCCTCCACCTGTGGCGCCAGCATCCCATATGGGCGCCGGGTTCTAGTCCAGGTTGCTCTTCTTCCAGTCCAGTTCTTTGCTGTGGCCCAGGAGGGCAGTGGAGGATGGCCCAAGTGCTTGGGCCCTGCACCCGCATGGGAGACCAGGAAGAAGCACCTGGCTTCTGGCTTCAGATCGGCGCAGCGCTGAACGTAGTGGCCAATGGAAGGAAGACCTTTCTCTCTTTCTGTCTCTCTGTCTGTAACTCTCTCTCTCTCTCTCTCTCTCTCTCTCTATATATATATATATATATATATATATATAACACAAGAGAGCTTGGGGACCTGGCCACATAATAGTTTAGGGCTTATCCTGTATCTAACTTTTAGTTTTTCTTCTTTAGTCTTGTGGCAGTATTTCTCTCTTCCTTCTTGATAATCCTTTCATCTACCCTTCTTTTCCTTTTTTATTGTTCCTACATGCCTTTATTTCTCTCTGCCTATTCATGACCCCAAACTCACTGCTATGACAACATTCACATATTTTGTACAGAGTATATCCACCATTCTCCTGTGTTTCTTGAAAGTCAATTTGATATATAGAACCCTTGCCAGTCCTAGACTATTATCCCTTCTGCCTTCTTAAGATTCCTAGGAATATGTGAAGCCTAGAAAAGACTTTTAGCAACTATAAGAAATTGCTTTCCTTTAATGACAGCCTTTCTCCAGTTATTTTCTGAGAACATGTGCTAATGGAAGAGGTGGAAATTTTATTATCTCTTGTCAATAAACCTAATTAAAACATGCCAAATACTTTCCAATGTTGCCCTGGGTTAATGTAACCTCTTGATTACCATCATCTTGATAGTGAGGATGGCATCAGTGAATGCTAAATGCTAGTGGAGTGGTTGGGGTTAGCTTAGAACGTTCTGCTCCTGAGTTGATGATTCACATCCTAATGCCTGCCAAGAGCAGAGTTGTCTTGTTCTGTCCCCCAGCTAAGCACTTATTAGAACCATCAACAGCATGCCACCAGGCAAACAAGGATTCTGACTTACACTTTCTCTTAAAAATGAAATAAATTAAATGTTTCTGAAATAGATAATTAAATTTAAATTTCTACTTGATTATGCCCAAATTTATAGAAAAGACATTGCATAAACACTTCTTAAAACTCTGGCCGGCACCTCAGCTCAGTAGGCCTCTGCCTGCATGCTGGCACCCCGGGTTCTAGTCTCGGATGCTGCTCTTCCAGGCCAGCTCTCTGCTGTGGCCCAGGAGTGCAGTGGAGGATGGCCCAGTTCCTTGGGCCCTGCACCCACACGGGAGACCAGGAGAAGCACCTGGCTCCTGCCATTGGATCAGCGTGGTGTGCCGGCAGCAGCGGCCATTGGAGGATGAACCAACGGAAAAGGAAGACCTTTCTCTCTGTCTCTCACTGTCCACGCTGCCTGTCAAAAAAAAAAAAAAAAAAAAAGGAAAAAAAAAACTCTAACATTAGGTCCCGCCCCTCTGGCTCCTGATTGGCCCTTGGGCCCCGGGCCGCCGAGAACGGATTTGAAACCCGAGCCCGGGCGACCACTTCCTCCCGGGCCCGGGCGGGGGACGGAGGCGGCGTCGGCCGGCGGCGCGGGCGGCAGGTGAGGGCCGGAGCCCTGGGGTCCTGGGGTTGTCGGGGACCGGGCAGAACCGGCGCCGGCCGGCCTGGGCGAGGGAAGGGGCGGGAGTGCCGAGCTTTTCCCGTTTCGGACTTTGCGAACTTTTTTTTTTTTTTTGGAGTTGGGATTTTTTTTCCCAGGGGCCTCCGGGGCGCGAGTTCTTTGTGGAATCCGCACACACATTCCAGCGGCTTGGATGCCCCTCCCTTTGTACGTGCGCGCGGTTGATGGACAGCCAGCGTCGCCATGGCAACGCGCGGTTTGATGGACAGCCAGTGTCGCCCTGGCAACGCGGGGCCCTCTGCTGAGCACTGACCTGGATTCCGGGCGGCGGCCGAGGGAGGCTGGGCCTTCCTGGCATTGTGCGGCCGTCGGCGGAAGAGGTGGGGGTGGGTGTTCGGGCTGGGCTCTCAGGGGGCTCTCAGGGCCGGCCTGGGCTCTAGGGGCCAGCCTGGGCTCTAAGGGCCATCCTGGGCTCTCGGGGATAGCCTGGGCTCTGTGGGCTAGCCTGGGCTCTGAGGGCTAGCCTGGGCTCTAAGGGAGCTTTGTGGGCTAGCCTGGGCTCTGAGGGCTAGCCTGGGCTCTGTGGGCTATCCTGGGCTCTAAGGGGGGCTCTAAAGGCTAGCCTGGGCTCTAGGAGCCATCCTGGGCTCTGTGGGTAGCCTGGGCTCTAAGGCGGCTCTAAGGGCCATCCAGAGCTCTGTGGGCTATCCTTGGCTCTCAGGCTAGCCTGGGCTCTAAGGGGGGCTCTCGGGGCTAGCCTGGGCTCTGGGGGCCAGCCTGGGCTCTCAGGGCCGCCCGGCCCCCCTCTCCCGCCCGCAGGTCGCCGCCGGGCCGCCCCGGCCGCCGGCCTGACCGCGATGGACGCGCCGGAGCCGCCCCGCCCCGCGTGCGCCCCCCCGGACGTGGCCGCCGCGTGCCCCGCCCCCCCGGACATGGCCGCCGCGTGCCCCGCCCCCTCCCCGGGCTGTGTCCTGTGCCAGTTCTGCGAGCTGGACCCGGCCCGCGAGGCGGCCAAGACGTGCGTGACGTGCGCCGTGTCCTACTGCGCGCCCTGCCTCCGCGCCACGCACCCCAACAAGTGGCCGTTCACCGGCCACCGGCTCGCCGAGCCCATGCCGGACGCGCACCTGCGCGGGCTGCAGTGCCCGGAGCACGAGGACGAGAGGGTCAGCCTGTACTGCGCGGCCGACGACCAGCTCATCTGCGCGCTCTGCAAGCTCGTCGGCCGGCACCGCGACCACCAGGTGGCGGCGCTGAGCGAGCGCTACGACAAGTGGAAGCAAACCTTGGAGACCAACCTCGCCCACCTGGTCAAGCGGAACTCGGAGCTGGAGGCGCAGCTGGGCAAGCTGATGCAGACCTGCCAGCTCGTGGAGGTCCACGCCGCGCGGCAGGAGGCCCGGCTGGGCGAGGAGTGCGACCTCCTGGTGGCCGTCGTCCAGCAGCGGCGCGAGGCCATCGGCGCCAAGATCCGGGAGGGCAAGGCCGTGCGGCTGCGTAAGCTGGCCCAGCAGATCGCCAGCTGCAAGCAGTGCGTGGAGCGCTCGGCTGCCCTCATCGCCCAGGCCGAGCTGTCACTCAAGGAGGCCGACCACGCCCGCTTCCTGCAGACGGCCAAGAGCATCACCGAGAGGGTCTCCATGGCGACCGCCTCCTCGCAGGTCCTGCTCCCCGAGATCAACGTCAGCGACGCCTTCGACAGCTTCGCCCTGGACTTCTCCCGGGAGAAGAAGCTGCTGGAATCTCTCGACTACCTCACAGCGCCCGGGCCGCCCGCCCTCCGCGAGGAGCTGTGCACGGCCTCCCACGACACCATCACCGTGCACTGGGCCTCGGACGACGAGTTCAGCGTGGGCTCCTACGAGCTGCGGTACTCGGTGCTCACCGGCCCGGCCAACGTCGCCAGTCTGTGCAGCTCGGCCGACAGCTGGATGATCGTGCCCAACATCCGGCAGAACCACTACACGGTGCACGGGCTGCAGAGCGGCACCCGCTACGTCTTCCTGGTCAGGGCCATCAACCAGGCCGGCAGCCGGAGCAGCGAGCCCGGGCGGCTCAAGACCAACAGTCAGCCGTTCAAACTGGACCCCAAGTCGGCGCACCGCAAGCTGAAGGTCTCGCACGACAACCTGACGGTGGAGCGGGACGAGGCCTCGTCCAAGAAGAGCCACGCCCCCGAGCGCTTCTCCGGCCAGGGCAGCTACGGCGTCGCCGGGAACGTGTTCATCGACAGCGGCCGGCACTACTGGGAGGTGGTGCTCGGCGGGAGCACGTGGTTCGCCGTCGGCCTCGCCTACAAGTCTGCGCCCCGGCACGAGTGGATCGGCAAGAACGCCGTGTCCTGGGCCCTGTGCCGCTGCCACAACGCCTGGGTGGCTCGGCACGACGGCAAGGAGGTGGCGCTGGAGCCGGCGCCGCACCCGCGCCGCGTGGGCGTCCTGCTGGACTACGACGGCGGCTGCCTGGCCTTCTATGACGCCCTGAGCGCCCTGCGCCTGCACGCCTTTGACGCTGCCTTCGCCCAGCCCGTGTGCCCCACCTTCGCCGTCTGGAACAAGTGCCTGACGGTCATCACCGGGCTGCCCGTCCCCGACCACTTGGACGGCACGGAGCCGCTGCCCTGAGCGCCGCCGGGCTGCAGGGCGGGGCCATGTTGTCCGAGATGGCCGAGGTCGGGTCCAAGGTGGTGGCCATATTGTTCCTGGAGGAATCAAAATGGCGGACATCTGTCCAAGGTGGTGGCCATGTTGTCCTGTAGGAATCAAAATGGTGGAATAGAAATCAAGATGGCAGCCATCAGGGCCAAGGTGGTGGCCATACTGTCCCTGGAGAGATCAAAATGGTGGACATGTGGTCAAGGGAGGTGGCCATGTTGTCCCAGTAGAAATCAAAATGGTGAAATAGAAATTAAGATGTTGGACATCTGGTCCAAGCTGCCAGCCATATTGTCCCCAGAGAGATCAAAATGGCAGAATAGAAATCAAAATGGCGGACATCTAGATGGTCACAGGCAGTGGCCATATTGCCCCGTAGAAATCAAAATGGCGGTACTTACCCACAGACTGCCCACTTCCTGCGGAACTGAACTCATGCCCTCCAGGGGGCGTGGAAGACACTGTTGGATTGCTGTGGCTTTGTTTCCGAATAAAATAATTTTTTTAGCAAAAAAAAAAAAAAAAAACCTCTAACATTAGCTTATTTTGTACTTAATTTTCTTCATAATATAATTAATTTTTAATATTATATCAATAAATATAGTCTAAAAATTAAAACAATATTGTGAGTTGCATAATGAAAATGACAGCTCCACCTTTTTTCACTTCTGATTTCCACTCCTAATATGTAAGAAGTTCATTTTTTTTTATTTAAAAAGATTTATTTATTTATTTGAATATCAGAGTTACGTAGAGAGAGAAGGAGAGAGAGAGGTCTTGCGTCTGCTGGCTCACTCCTCAGTTAGCTGCAACTGGCCGGAGCTGTGCTGACCTGAAGCCAGGAGCCAGGAGCTTCCTCCAGGTCTCCCACGCAGGTGCAGGGGCCCAAGGATTGGGCGTCTTCTACTGCTTTCCCAGGCCATAGCAGAGAGCTGGATCGAAAGTGGAGCAGCCAAGTCTCGAACCAGCACCCATATGGGATGCTGGCGCTTCAGGCCAGGGCTTTAACCGGCTGTGCCACAGCGCCAGCCCCAAAAAGTTCATTCTTTAGGTTGTTTCTTCTGTTATTTATTTCCATCTTTCTAGACAAACATTATACTGCTATTTCTTGATTTTTCAATTCTAGACACTTGATTTATTTAGTAGAAAATGGGAATTTGGTTCACTTAATACCTGTTGCCCCTGGACAATTAAAAGCTTATATATATACATTTTGGTAGATCACATTTTGGTAGATCAATATTCAAGATTTACATTACTATTAATAGATTAATTGACTTCACAACTGGACCAATTAGTGTCATCATATTATGTTTCTTACCTAGCTTTTCTTTTTAAGTGGACTTAATGATTATATTTTTTGTTGTCTGTTTAGTTTTCCGTGTCCTGTCACTAATTCACATCCAAACACTCTGCCAAATTGGTAATATTCTTTTTATTATAACAAATGTATAACAAAATCTGTGTATTATTTTTTCCTTTTTCTGGGCATATCTCTCCTGGAGCCTTCACCTGTCTTGCTGTTATCTCCACTAGTGGTTCACCAGTCTCCTAAACATCTGTTTACTTGGATTTCTATTTATTGTTTTTCTAAAAACCCCCTTTACCTTTTCCTATTTGAATCTTGCCCATTCAATTCTAAATTTGTGCACATCAATTTTTGTTTATTCTCATTTTGTATGGTTAATATCCTTTGGCAACTTTCTAAGAAAGGGTGCAGGGAAATTAATGTTTTGACACTCCATAGAAATGAAAATCTCATACCTTCTTTATTGGTTGATAGCTTATGTGGGTACTGAAGTGTAGGTTGCAATTTAAATTTTTCTACATATTGGGAAAGCATTTTTCATTATATTCTGCATGTTATCTTTGCTTTTGGTAAATTCAGTACTACCCTGATTTCAAATAGTTTGTATGTGACTCCCTCAGCCCCATTTCAAAGCAGTGCTGAGGATACCTTTACAGTGCTATGAAAATCCATATGGATGAACTGCAATGTGTGCTTATATCTTTGGCTCCTGGAATTTTTAATATAATACTCCTTTGATGATCTTTATACTTCCATCGTGTACACACTGTCCCTGTCTTCAGTTTCTGGATCTTCTGATGATTCCTTATTGTAATCTTATTTTACAGGAGATCAGACATCTAATCTTGGATGCTTTTCCAATTTTCCTGTTTTCTCTCTCCTATTTTACACTTCAACAATCTTTTTGTTTTATTTTCTAGATTTTCCTTAACTTTCTCTTCCACTCTATATAGACTTTTATGTAGATTTCTGCTGTTTGAATCTCCAAGATATTTCTTGTTCTTTCAATGTTCCTTATGACACTGTGTTTTTGTTTTATGTCTATAAGTGTGACTATATTTATGACTATAAAGTCTTAGCTAGTTAAATAAATTAATCTTAGGTTTTCAAAGTTGTTATTTTCTGCTCACCAACAATATTTATATTTCCTCTTAGCCCTTCCCTCTCCTCCCCTCTCCTCCCCTATTTTCCCCTCCTCTCCCCTCCCTTTTCATCTAGTCTCTTCTCTCCTCTCTTCTCTCTCTCTGTCTCTCCTCCCTCTTTCAACAATAATATATCACTGATTATAGGCACATGTTATACAGCAAATCTCTAGAATTTGATCATTGGGTATAACTGAAGCTTTATACCCCTTGAATGTCAACTTTCCATTTCTCCCTCCCCCAAGTGTAGGCAATTACCATTTTACTCTCTGCTTCCATGAAATTGACTGTTTTTTTTCAACTTTTATTTAATAAATATAAATTTCCAAAGTACAACTTTTGAATTATAGCAGCTTTCCCCCCCACAACTGCCCTCCCACCCGCAACCATCCCATCTCTCACTCCCTCTCCCATCCCGTTCTTCATCAAGATTCATTTTTTTTAATCAAGATTTATTTTCAATAATACTACATGTAAGTGGAAACATATAATACTCATCTTTCTGTGAATGGCTTATTTCACTTAGTATAATATCCTCATGGTCATACATATTGTTACATATGATGGAATTTCTTCCTTTTAATGACCACATTAAATTTCATTATACATATATCACATTTTATTTATCCGTTCATCAATTGATGGACATTCAGTTTGCTTCTACCTCTTGGCTAAGGTGAATAATGCTACAATGGGACATGGGAGTGCAAATACTCCTTCTAGATTCTAATTTCAATTATTTTGAGTTAAAGTAGGATTACAAGTAGTTCTATTTTTTTGCAAGGTGTCCAGTGTGTAACAAACCTTCCCAGCCAGATTAATCAATTAATTTATAAGCTTTTATTGGGATTCTGCTCCCAGGCGAGGTTCACCAGTCCCAACAGAGCAGGGGTGGGGGTTGGAAGGAGTTGCACGTCAGAGGTTGGGAAGGCTCCTTTTGTAGATACAGGGCATGGAGGTTAAAAGTTGAGGCGTGTCTGATCCCCACTGGTTGACTTTTAGGTACCCGTGGGGACCTTGGCAAGGACTTTTCATTCCCAGAAGTGCAGGTAGGGACTCTCCATTCCCGGAAGTGTGGGCCTTCTCTCCTGTGGATCCCAAAGCTACCATTTTGAATTTTGAATTTTTTGAGGAACCACCATATTGTTTTCTCCTGTGACTACCATTTTGCATTCCCACCAAGACTATACAAGAGTTCCTATTTCTCTACATGCTTGCCATCCCTTACCATTCTTAAAATGATGTTTATATAATATAGCCATCCTAATAAGTGTGAGGCAATATCTGCTTGTGGTTTAGGTTTGAATTTCCCTGATGATTAGTCATATAAGCATCTATTTAAATACTTGGGTGTTCATACATCTTCTTTGGAGAAGTATCTATTAAAGTCCTTATCCTGTTTTTAGTGGAGTTATTTTGTAGTTTCAATATTTGCTATTCAATTGTAGGAGTTCTTTATATATATTATAAATATTATCTGATAAGTGTTTGCAAATATTGTCTCCTGTAAGTTCTTTTTTTCTTCTTTTCTTTTTTCTTTTTAAGATTTATTTGTTTGTTTAAAAGTCAGAGTTACAGAGACAGACAGACAGACAGAGGTCTTCTAGCCACTGGTTCATTACCCAAATGACTGCACCAACCTGGGCTGGGCCAAGCTGAAGCCAGGAACCAGGAACCAGGAACTTCTTTAAAGTCTCTCACATGGGTGCAGAAGCCCAAGCACTTGAACCATCCTGTGCTGCTTTCCTGGGCCATTGGCAGGCAGCTAGATTGGAAACAGAGTAGCCAGGACTTAAACTGGCACCCATATGGTGCAACAGACTGCAGCTTTACTCACTGTGCCACAGCACTGGCTCTTCCTCTCTCTCTCTCTCTCTCTCTCTCTCTCTCTGTCTCTTTCTCTCTCTCTTTCTCTTTTCTTTCTTTATGGATATGCTCATTCTTAAAAATGATGATACTTGCCAGTCAACTCATAATAAAATCTGAGGCATATTATTAAATTCAACTTAGGTTGGATGGAGGTGCAAGGATGACTATCTGAGTTCTGGTATTACATTGGAGAAAGTTGCCGTACATTGTACTGTTCAGCCTGCAAGTTTTTTTTTGTTTGTTTGTTTGTTTGTTTTTGACAGGCAGAGTGGATAGTGAGAGAGAGAGACAGAAAGGTCTTCCTTTTACCGTTGGTTCACCCTCCAATGGCCTCCACAGCTGGCGCGCTGCGGCCGGCGCACTGCGCTGATCCGAAGGCAGGAGCCAGGTGCTTCTCCTGGTCTCCCATGGGGTGCAGGGCCCTAGCACTTGGGCCATCCTCCACTGCACTCCCTGGCCACAGCAGAGAGCTGGCCTGGAAGAGGGGTAACTGGGACAGAATCCGGCGCCCCGACCAGGACTAGAACCTGGTGTGCCTGTGCCGCTAGGTGGAGGATTAGCATATTGAGCCACGGCACCACCGGCCTAGCCTGCAAGTTTTTACATAGTTCTTTTATGATTCAGTATAGCACCATCCCATATTTTCAAGTAGGTGTTATGCCTCTAGATGCATAGGAATTCTAGTTTAAGATCTCTTGAGACTGTAATGTATAAAGAGAAAAGAAAGATAAAAGGAGAGAACAGTCAATAAACTATGCCAGAAATTTTTATTTGTAAGAAGGGTAAGGCAAGCACCAGCAACAACTAACAACACAGAACTGAGAAAGCTAAGACCTAAGCTTGTAGAAAGAAAGAAGAAAAAAAAATCAAACCAATTCATGCCTCAGATTCTCAGAACAAGTTCAGAACTGTAGGATTATCTGGGAGATATAGATCTAAAAGGCTGAAAAAAAAAAAAAAAGAAAAGTGATCATGCTTATATAAGGAGCTTATACTTACAACTTCTCTATTCATCTTCAATAGATAGTTGGCAGCCCTTCTCTCACTTTGCAAAACAAGCAGGATTTCCTCTCTTGAGAGCTTAAACTAGAATCTCTATGCATTTGGGGGGGCCCCAGCCCTACCTGAAAGTAGAGGAAAGGTTCTATATACTTCCTAGAAGTTTAGAATGGTTCAAGGAAGAAGTGTTAGCCCACCAAACAATCTACAGTTATTTAATTTATAATTATGATGTAATAGAAATAAACCAAACTTGCAGTGAGAAGACCTGAATGCAACTGAGTTAATTAATCTGTTGAGATAGCTTATTTTCTTATCCATAAATGGAAACTTCTTCACATCTGTGAGGCACAAAATCCCAAACTCAGGGAGTTTCTGTGAACCTTTGTTAGGGTAGGTGTTGGGTTAGTCCTATTCAACCGTGTACTCCGGTGCCAAGTGCGTGATGCATACTAGACATACATTATTGTTGTGAAATCACTTTTTGAAGTATAAAATACTTAACACATGTAAGACATTGCTAAGAGATATTATGGGAAGGAAGTAATAAAAACGCTTATCCTTAGTCAATCTTGAGTGCTTACTATATGATCAACACTGATTGAAACATGTTATAAAATGAATGATCTCATTTCTTTCTTGTAAAAACATTCTGAGATAAGAACTAGTACTATTCCTAGTTTGTATATGGGAAAAAAAATTCACTAGTGGTTAAGGACTTTGCCAAGATCTGAGCGAAGAGTAGCCCAAGGGTATGAAGGTGGGTAGTCTGGCTATGAAGCTTGCTAGACTGGCTTTAGCCATCAGATTTGTTAAGTACTGCCCTGCACATTCTGTTGACAGAAGTTGAAATCATTGGAATGAATATTTGAAAGTGGTGCTTTATAGACAGACCAAAAGAAGTAACCGGAACATAAGCAGCAAGCAGCATATCAAAAATGCAATGTGTCTCAATTATTTAAGTGTGTATTGTCACTGACATACCCAGTGAATAAGATCACATTCATTCCCAGGTTCCTACTATAGTTTCCTAATGTGAACCTGCCTCGCTGGACGCAAAAAGACAACATATAAGCCAACCTAAAGTACAGGAAAAATTAAAGACATTTAGGTCCTTGATGATTGGAGAGTTAGAGATCTGAAAAGTGCCAGTACCTCTTAGTTTATTGGTCCATATACTGACACCAATTTTCAGGATAATTTTCATCAATCTGCTAAGCATTTCTATTTGAAGCTTCTTAATTTCTAAAATCTAAAACTTGCTTGGCAGTCAAACTGAATATATCCTAACTCAATGTGATAAGTATGATTTTCATTTCATATCAGTTCTAAAAGAATTGATTAAAATAGCTTAAAATTACATAGATTCATTCTCTGTCTACATGTACTTATGATGTGCTTATGGAATTTGTAAAAGGTTGAGTGGAAGTTTTCTTAGCCCACAGTATGACCTGAATTAAGATAAGTAATCTAGATCAGTGTCTCTCTTGAGCCTCAGCCTAGACATTAGGATTTTTCAAGCTTCCTGGTATTTTTCATGTGCAGCCGAAGTTATAAATGACTCATCTAAATCATCCTTTTACCCTCATAATAGCATGATTAGTGACTATATATATCCACAGTAACATTATCATGATATATGTTACACTCTGTTGTGTGGTATCATTATTATAATGTGTCAAATTATAAATCCATTGCCCTTATGTGGACATAAAAGCCACATGTTTTCATCTCTACTTAACGTGTAAGTAAAGCAGAATTCTGAGAAATTAGGTAACTTGCTTGGACTCATTTGGCTGGGAAGTGGCAGAGCTGGGAGTTCAGGTGGAGTGGGTGGATTAGTTGAAACAAGGGCAGCTTGATTCCTTGACTGATGCTCTTACAAAATCCTTACACCATAATGTTTCCATGTTTTCAAGATCTCTAATGAAAATTAACTTTCTTTTTTAAATATTGAGAGGCAGAGACACAAAGAGACCTCCCATCCACTGGTTCACTCCCTAAATGTCCACAATCACCGGGACTGGGCTAGAATGAAGTCAGAATCTGGGAACTCAATACAAGTCTCCTATATGGATGGCAGAGACCCAGCCACTTGAGCCATCATCTGCTGCTTCCCAGGGTCTGAACTGGCAGGAAGTTGAAACCTGGAGACAAAGTTAGGAATCAAATCGAGTCACTCGTATATGGGATATGGGTCTCTTGATTGTTAAACCACTTTCTCCTCCATCCCTGAAATTTTAAATTTTAAAGGCTATAAGAGAAGAAGAATTCCCAACCCAAAAGACAGTTTTCTCTTTTTGATCCACATCCTTCTATACCCTGCCTCATGGCACCTCAGATCTGTTGCTCTGGGATTAACCACTTGTCCTGCACACCCAAGCCATCTTGAACCTTGGACATTTTTTCTGGAAATTTCTACCTAGTGATCTCTCTTTGAATACTGAAAAGACAACAAATATATCAGTGTTCTTGATCCTGGCCCTACCTCGTCATCCTCTATTCATCATCAACACATTTAGTAAAATTAAGCCATCTGGCTTTCCTGTGGCTTCTTAAAGTCTTGTGCTCTTGTGTTTTGGGTGAGGATAAGAAGGATTACAACACACCACTCAGTAAAAATGATGGCAGGAAATATGAGGACACATCTGAAAGTGTTGTTTAGCAGGTATCGGGGGCTGAATTCTATTCCTCAGAAAAAAAAATAAAAAATAGGAGTGAAATCCTAACTTCAGAGCCTCAGAACATGATCTTGTTTGGAAGCAGGATTTTTAAAAAGACAAGTCAAGTTCAACAGAGATCATTAATGTAGGCCTTAATCCAATGTGACTGATAGCCTTACAAAATGGAGAAACTGGACAGAGAGACAGATACTCATAGAAGGCAGACTGCAAACAGACAGGGAGGAGATGGCCGTTGACAAGCTGAGGAGAGAGGCCTGGAACACATCCTTCCCTCACAGCCCTCTGGAGGAAGCAACCCTGCTGACCCCTTGATTTTGGACTTCTGGCCTCCAGAACTGCGAGACAGTACATTTCTGTTGTTTGAAATCTGTGGTCCTTTGTTCTGGCAGCACTAGGTAGCTGACCCAGCAGGTGAGGTGAAGGGAAATCAGGCTCCAGGAGAGCAGCCAGATAGAGCTGACGTGTGCTCTGCTTAGGAAACATTAAAGCAGGGATTTGGAGTCTCCAGGGAGCCACACACAGAGCTCTCTGAGCTCTGGAATTCTCTCCTGGGATCACTGAAGGAAAAGGTTTCTTGTCTGAGCTGCCAGCATCTGGTTCTATACCCACCTTGTCAGGGCGGGGGGCGGGGTAGGCATTTACTGTCTCTGTTGCCATGCCAACCAAGGAGGTTGGCAAATTCAAGTGCTCTCTCTTTCACAAAAAGATCACCATGCCTTAGACTCTCAGGCACTTGCTTTGAGTAAGCCTGCCTCCTAGAACTTCCATTCTAAGCTGAGTAAATTATAATTTTCCTTGTTGCTGATTTCAAGGTTATAGTCTATTTCTTATTTATTTATTTATTTATTTATTGGCAGGCAGAGTAGACAGAGAGAGACAGAGAGAAAGGTCCTCCTTTTGCCGTTGGTTCACCCTCCAATGGCCGCCGCGGCCGGCACGCTGTGGCCGGCGCATCGCGCCGATCCGAAGCCAGGAGCCAGGTGCTTTTCCTGGTCTCCCATGTGGGTGCAGGGCTCAAGGACCTGGGCCATCCTCCACTGCCCTCCCGGGCCATAGCAGAGAGCTGGACTGGAAGAGGGGCAACCGGGACAGAATCCGGCGTCCTGACCGAGACTAGAACCCGGTGTGCCAGCGCCGCAAGGTGGAGGATTAGCCTAGTGAGCCACGGCGCCGGCCCATATAGTCTATTTCTATCAGCAGGAACACCTCCACACTACTTGAAACGTTTGTCACAGGGCATCGGAAGGAAGTTCAGAAACTGATGTGCTTTGGTTCTTTGCAAGACACAGACAGGTGATACCTTCTTGGGCTCTGAGCTAGTAAATGCACTCCTCTCACTACCCAACCCCACACCCCTTACAATCACATACACTACTCTGATTTTCCCTTTCCCCTTTCACCCTCTGCATCATCTGCTACCCCATCACTTTTTTTTTTTTTTTTTTCTGGTAGGAGCTCAGGAGCCTGGCTGCAGACTCTTTCATCATCAGGGATTTCATCAGTGATGAAATCATCACTTATTAGCCTCTAGCTCCTAATTGGAAGGAACAGATCATGTATCCTCTTTGTCCTTGTGTCTGTAAAGCAGAGAAACTAGCAATGGTGTAAACCATCTTTTTCGGGGTCCTGATTGAGGCTTTCCATGGGGCTGCTCAGCAGCCAGATGTGTGGCTTCAAGGAGATGGAGGATTGTTTACATTGTGATGAAATTCACACACTTCATGCTAGTAGCAAAGGTCGAACTTAGAAAACTCTTGAAGAGGATGCATTTCAAATATTTTTGACTGGAAACAGACTAATGGAATGCAGACAGGTAGACAGGTGAATGTTAGCAACTAGTGTCACCATAGCAACCAGAGAATCATAGTTGATGGTGGTGACTTACTCTCTACTTCCTCCATCTCCCAGAAATTACAAGCACTGTGCTATGATTGAGTGGAGAGCAAAAGTAACTTTATATTTATGAATATAAGAGAGATCATCTTCCCCCAATCATTTCTACTCAGCTATTGTTGGCAGGATGGACAAAGTTACGGAAATACTCCCAGGAAGGCAACATGGTGAAGACAAAGCTTAACAAGTGAGATGTGGCAGAGCAGGGGTGTAAATCTTGACTCTGCCGCTTTACTGGATTCTGTGTAGTGGGGAAACTTCCTTATTTGGTGGATTGGTTAAGGGATCAAATAAGAGAATCTATAGTTACAGGTAGATATGTTGTAAAACTATCTCCCATTCACTTTCTCTTCCTAATTTCCACACTGCATATTTCCAAACCCCATCTCTGAGTACACTAACTTAACAGTCAATTTGAACAGGCAATCAAAATGAGAACAGTCCTGTAAGATAAAATTACTGAATTTGATTATTTTTATATGTGTTTTTTTTTAAAGATTTATTTATTTATTTCAAAGGCAGAGTTACAGAGAGGCAAAAGCGAACCATCCACTGGTTCATTCCCTAAATGGCCACAACAGCCGGAGCTGGGCTGATCCGAAGCCAGGAGCCATCTTCTGGGTCTCCCACGTGATTGCCAGGTCCCAAGGACTTGGGCCATCTTCCTCTGCTTTCCCAGGCCACAGCGGAGAGCTGGATCAGAAATGGAGCAGCCGGGACATGAACTGGCGCCCATATGGGATGCTGGCACCACAGGCAGTGGCTTTAGCTGCCATGCCACAGCACTGGCCCCCCAAGTTTGTTTTTAGAAGACAACTTAGGAGTTTTATACACATTTCACTGGCTGTGATGCAACACTCTTCACCCTAACTAGGTTGGATCTCCAGAGGATAGGTTTGTTTTGTTGTTGCTACTGTTTTTCTTTTCTTTTTATTTCCTGAGTCTTGCTTTGTGAGGCCTAGGATTCTCAGAACTTATCAGCTACATGAAGTAGCCCATATTTCCTTCCTATTCATATCTCCCTACCTCCATATGTGTATGTATGTGTGTGTATGTGTGTGTGTGCATATCTCCTTAGCTCCATATATATATTGCTTCTGATTAATGGAAGTGAATGAGTTGTACGGTGTAGTGTCTTACAGAAGCAACAAGGCGGGGGAGGTGAAATCCAATTAAATATGAATTATGAAAAGCACCTCACCCTCTGATGCTGGTGCCCCTGAGGCTGCTAATGAAATGATCTATGCTAACTTTGTTCTAGTGGGACCAGCACCGTGGTGCAGCAAGTTAAGCTCCACCTACAACACTGGCATCCCACATGAGTGCTTGTTTGAATCCTGGCTGCTCTGCTTCCAATCCAGCTCCCTACTAATGCACTTAGGAAAACAGCAGATGACCCTAGGGCTTGGGACTCTGTCCCCATGTCAGAGACTCTGTGGAATTCCAGGCTCTTGGTTGGACCAGCCCTGGCTGTTGCAGCTATTTGAAGACTTAACCAGCAGGTAGAAGATCTCACTTTCTCTGTCACTGCCCTTTCTCTGTCAGCCTTCCTTTCAAAAAATAAATAAGTCTTTAAAACAAAACAAAACAAAACCTATTTGTAGCAACAGACCAGCAAGGACCCCTGCTGAGGAGGCTTCAATAGGCTTGGAAAGCCTGACTGAATTAGTGGTTTGTGAGTGGGAATGTGGTGTGATGCCCAAAAATGTTGGACTTGAAATTGGAAGACACAGGTTTGAGCCCTGATTATGCCTCATATGGTTGTGTACCTGCATCTAATGTCTTCATGGGTATAAAGAGACTAACACCGCTTCCCAGGACTTTTGTGAGGACTTAAGTCTGGCAAAAATAAGAAAACACATGGTGTTGGAACCAGCTCTCCAGGAGCTAATAAGTAAACATTAATTATATCTAGATTTCATGCTTTAATTGCATTACTTTTCCTAGTTATGAAGGCACATTGTAGCGACACTGATTTTAAAATTGAGAAAACTGTCATCTTTCTCTTTATAAACTTGCACAGGGATGACAGCTCATGATTTCTCAGAGCTATTTCAGAGTGAGGCTCCAAAAATTTCATATATCCATTGATCACATGGATGAAGAGAAGGATACACTAGCTTCTCTACAAAGATAAGCACGAACAAGTAGTTCTATGTCTGTAAACAAAAAGAGGGTAATGGGGAAGGAAAGGATGTCTACAGGTCTCAAGTGGAAAGAAAAACAAAATGGGTCTGTAATTGCCACATGGATGTGGTTGGAAAGGGAAAATTATACAGATATAAAATGAAAAATAGGAAAGAGGATTTCTAGGTCAATGATGAGTAACCAGTAGAATCAATGGGGCAGATCAATGAAGAGACCTTAACTCTGTATTTTATTTAGTCACTATGTTCCTGGAAAAAACACTAGTGTATAGAATTGAATCAATACTGTGAGGAGAGCTCTCTGCTTTTGAAAGATGAGCATTATGGAAGCTATGTATAAAGCAAATATTATCTTTTCAGTTGGGTTATTTTGGGAGAACACAAGGATTTTTAGTATTAAATGTTTTTAACACAGGGAACTCCTCTGTAGACATATAGAAATAGTGCTATTTCCAAGTGTGTGAAGTAAAACTTTCAAACAGGACACCATGGCATTTTACCCAGGTTTATCTGGAGAATGCTCTTCTAAACTATGGTAAATGCAGTCAATTTCTAACTATAAATTATGGTAAGTTTGGAAGCTAATTCAATCATCAATGATAATTTGAGGAACAGATTCTGTCAAACAAGTTTAAAGACTAGAGATGTCTGGGGAGACGAGGAGGATAATTTAATCACATTCATTGCCTATACAACAGAGTTGCAAGGGATCTGTCATTTGTTTGAATTTTCACAGAAGATGATGACTAGGTATAAACTGTGTTGTGAGCACTGGATTGATCAGACATAGTCAGACTCTTCCTCCCTGTTTGGGTGTTTGAGTACTGAAACATATCAGCATGGGAGAAGGCAAGGAACACACCTGGGGAAACCAGATAAATAAGGCAGGCACACAGACATAACCTCCATCCTTGGTGCAAAAGCATTAGAATAAGGGTTAGTATGCAATTCTAGAAGCTCTTTCTGACCCCAGCATTCTTTAATTGGGTTTACATGTGAAACAGAACATTCCATGGAACATGGAGAAGTCACTAGAGAATGAAGACACTTGGTTTATAAGCAGATCTGGAGCAGCTGAAAGCAAACTTGTGAGATCAGCTCACCCCTAATGCACTTGCCCACCCAGTACAACCTGCCCACTGCTGGCCCCTGTGGTGTGGCCACAGGACCTTGGTTTTGAGCACTCACAGTAGAATATGGTCATTATTTCCACTGGCTCTTCCTCCTTTCTCTGTATTCCTTACACTTCTTGAGAAGTAACCACTAAGTCAGCATGCAGGACACATCTGAATGAGGAAATGAACAGGTAGTTGAGTATCTGTGATATCTTGTAGAGGATTCCTTTCCTTGAATTTTGTCTCAGATTCCATTCCCACATTTCTAGCCTTTTTATTCCACCCTATCACTACTCTCTCCTATACTTCCTTTGTGTAGGAACTTGTGCTTCCTTGGAGATGGAAATCAACAGAAGGGACAATTTTGACTAAATGCCTACCTCCCCAGGGCATCTGCATTTTAAATATTTATTTATAGTTTTTTTAACATATTGAAAGATGAGTTAGACAATAAAGAATATATATAAAAATAAATGGCCATAGTCTACTATACATAAAAATAAAAACAATGGAGAAGGATGAAGTGGCTTAGAAGTATATAGGAGTGATAGGAGTATATGTGGTAGGTTATAGTATCAATGATGTGGCCAATTCAGGTTTTATTGAGAAAGTAAGTTCAGGGAGTGAGCCATGTGGATTTCTTGGAAATGAAGATTCCAGCAGAAAGCAGAGCTAGTGCCAAGCACCTACAGAGGAAACAAGTGTGACTGGTACTTTGAAGATAGTAAGGAGGGCAGAGCAGTTGGAGAAAGGGCAGCAAGGTGAGAGGAACAGAAGTAAAGTAAGAGAGATGGTGCTGTAGCAGATTAGATAGAGCCAGTAGGTTGTGTTAAGGGCCTGGATTCCCACTCTATAAGTGGTAAAAGAGGCAACCAATTCATGTTTTGATCAGGAGAGTGGCATGATTTGATTTACACTTTCAAAGTCTTACTGTTTTGCAGAACTTGCTCAGAGGTAAAAGTGGGGGAGAAGTGAGAACTGTTAGGAGGCAGTCATAGTATTCTAGGCAATTAATGATGGTGGCTTGGGTGGACAGTCGCCCAGGAGGTAGTAAGAAGCCCTCAGGGTCTAGATATTTTCTGACAGCTGAGTCACAGGGGCTGTGAGAGACAAAAAAGGAATCAAAGTTGATTCCCAGGTTTGGGTCCACTTAATGGATAGAGCTGTGAAAACCAGCATGAAGAAGGCTGTGATATGATAGGTTTGAGGGTAAGGAGTAGGGGAAATTGGGATGTCCTGTTTAAGAATTTGAAATATCTACTGACATTTCCAAATTTGAAAGAGAGCTTTCCAAGCCTCCAAGCTGTGGTCTAATATGCAGTAGATCAACTCTTTGGCCATAGGTTGCTGTTCAGTATAGCTCCTCTAAATAAAAGGTAGTGGCTTTCCTTGCTTGTATGACCAGCTAGCTTCTGGTTTCATTCCCCAAAGAAATATCAGTAAACAGAAAAATAAAACAACAACAAGGGACCCAAGTATTTTCCCAAAAATATAAGTATCATTTATAACTTTAGATAGAGGTTTCCATAGAGTATGTGCTTATAACCTAGTTACTCTAAGGAATGGATTCCCTCTGCTGAGATTAAATTTATATGCAGGAATTGACTCATCATCAAGATACCCTAATTCATACCTCAAGTATCTCAATTTTACTTGCTTTTCATATATGACTAGACCATTATAATAGTGCATTCAAAGAAAGGACAATATGGGTAAGCCTGTCACTGAATTACAATGACTCTTTTTTTTACTTTGCTCCCTATTCATTCCCATTTCTTTTCAATCTTACATAAAGGCATTGTTTAAGATATTTTTCAGCTATCAACTCTCTCCGCACTGGTAACTCGGAGAGGCCTTTGGGGGAAAGTGACACAGGATCCAGGACACAGCAATAGAGCCATGTGAAGTTAGCAGGGCAATAAATACA